TTTTTTTTTTCCTTTCGAGCTAGGATCTTACTCTGTTGCCCAGGCTGGAGTGCAGTGACACAATCACAGCTTACAACAACCTCAATCTTTTGGGCTTTGACCATCTTCCTACCTCAGCCTCCCAAGTAGGTGGGACTACAAGTGCAGACCACCGTGTCCAGCTAATGTTTAAATTTTTTGTAGAGACAGGGTTTCACTTTGTTGCCCAGGCTAGTCTCAAACTCCTGGGCTCAAGCAGTCTGCCCGTTTCAGCTTCCCAAAGTGCTGGGATTACAGGCATGAGCCACTTCCCTGGCCAGTATTTTCATTTTTTAACCTAACTGTTCTACATGGAACATTTTCCTTTTGATTTGTAGAATAGTTCATTAGTCTTCCAGTATATTTATAGTAGATCATCCAGTCTTTGAGCTATGGTCAGGTTTTATTCCTTGGGCCACTTTTACTGGCAGTGACTTCCTGGAGGTCTGCCCTGAGAGGGATTCCAAGGCCTGATTTGGGTTCAATGCAGAAAGAGTATCTAAGAATGTCTCTTATGTTTATGTCTCTTTACAGGAGGGAATGGGCATTCTTGTCATGTATTTGACATGCCTACTGTTAATCCTTTGCTGAGATAGACATGCATTTGATTATGTCACTCTTCTATTTAAAACTCTCCTGTGGCCTTCTCTTACCCTTAGGATAGCAAGGTCTAAAAGGCCCTTTATGAGTTGATTTCTGTTTACTTACCTAGCTTTACCAGTTTCTTTATTCATTTAGCAAATATTTACTGAGGGCCTTCTATATGCCAGGTCTTGGGGATATAGTGATGAATGATGGCAACACCTAGTTGGGCGAAATCAGTATAAAACCGTCAGGCAAGTAGTACATAGTTATAATTTGTGATACATGCCAGATGGAAAGGGAAAAGATTTTATGAAAGAATATATCTGGGACATAATTTAGACTAAGTGTGGGGTATAAGGGAGGCCTCTGTGTTGTGCAGGAAGTAGCCAGGCAGAGAGATGGGGAGAACATTAAGGATAGAGAGGCCCTGTGTAGGTGTTATGAGCTGGGACAGAGTGTGATGCCTTTAGGAAATTGGAGAAGACCGCAGTGATGTTCCCAGTGCATGAGAGGAAGCCTGATAGGAGGAAAGAAGTATTCCAGGGGCACTGATTTGAAAGGGTAGTGATGGTATTGCCAGCATCACCAGCTGTTGGCTGGAGAAGCACTTGGAGTAGAGGCGAAGAGTGGAGACCTGGAGAACAAACAGGGAACTTTTGCATTAGTTCAGGCTGAGTATTGTCAGTAGTTTTTAACTCATTTACATCTTAGAATATTTTTTGTTTCTTTGTATTTTATCTTTCAATAGAAAGTCATTCATCTCTGTCCATCTACTTTAATGTTCAGTTGTGTATCATTCACTTCTATCATACTATTATTCTTTTTTTTAAAAAAATAAATTTTATCATGTATGTTTGAGGTTTGCAGCATGATTTTATGGAATACCTACAGATTTTAAATGTTTACTGAAGCAGATGAGCATATCTATCTCACACAACTTTATACTATTATTCTTAACATATTCTTAATAGTCCCATTATTTCAAATGGGAAATTCTATTCTTGTTTCCGATTTTATTATTACTGCCAAAGTTTTAACCTTTTAATGGCCATTTTAAAAAGAAACCCAGTTTTTATATTAATTTTCCCTTTTTAATGATTTTTTTTCTATTTTTACTCAAATTATTTCCTTTTTTGTATATGTTTTTCTTGTGTAAAGTTTTAATTTATATAATAACCTGGCAATTGTTCTTATGTATCAAGAAAAGTGCTAAGGACTTACATCCTCATGAGGTTATGTGAGGTAGGCGTTATTCCTATTTTACAGATGAATCTGAGGCTTGGAATGATTAGTGAACTTGTTTAAGGTCAGATAACAAATGGTCTGGCCAGGATTTGAACCCAGGGCTTTTGAGCTTCAAAATGTAACCTTGGCTGTCAAGTTAAATGCTTTATTCTTTAATTATAATATTTAAAAAAAAAAAAACACACAACCAAAAATGATCTCAGCTTATGAATTTCTCTTTGATGATTATTTTAGTTATTTAAGTGGCTATATTGATGTGCAGTTTGATTTTTGACTTATTAATTTATAAGAGTTGATTTTAGTTTCAAAATATTTGATATAAAATTTGCCTGATTTTATTGCATTCTGGTCAGAGAACCATAGTGTGCAAATGTTACAGTCCCTCAAAGTGTATTCTAATGTTTATAAGAAAAAGCTTTCAGAAGGTAGAAAGAATACTTCCTGCTTGTGGAATATGGAGCTCAGCATGTGCCAAGGCCATTCATTAGTAACATTATGCATTTATGTCTTGAACCTGCCTTTCACACCTGTTATGAGTTGGTAGTATTGAAGCTTAGTAATGTCCTACTGCTGTTGCAGTTTTTCTGTATTTCTTTAAGTTTTTATAATGTTGACTTGGTGCATTTTGATGTACAAGTTTAACATCTTGTCTTTATTAATAATTATAGTATTTTATGTATATTTTTTATCTTTTGAATTCCATTTAAGGTTTTTTTCTTCAAAACCTGTTTTATCTGAAATTAGTATGGTTAACCATTGTTTTCCTTCTGTCTGTCTGATAAATCTTTGCCCCAGCCTACAATTTTAACGTTATTTACTTTGGCTGTATCTCTTAGTACGATGGAAATGTCACATATTTTTGAAGTTTGAGTTGAGGGCATTTACATCAGTTATTGTGGTTATTAATCTATTTAAAAATTTTTAAGAATTTTTATTGATACATATTTATTTATGGGGCACGTGTGATATTTTGATACATGTATGTAATATGTAATAATTAAATCAGTATTTAGGATACTCGTCACCTCATTTATTGTTACTTTGGGTTGGGAACATTTTAGATCTTCTAGCTATTTTGAAATATACATGATTATTAACCTATTTTATCACTCGATCTATTCGTCCTCTCCCTTTCTCCCTTTGTTTCCTTCTCTTTCTTTCTCTCTCACTTTCTTGTTATCTAACTGTCAACACTGGTGTCTTCAAGGGGCTGTGAAAGGACAAGGAAAAAGGTTTGCTTAAGATTTTCCACTTGATTTATTACAATAAATGTATCTTTCTTTTTTTTTTTTTTNTTTTTTTGAGATGGCATTTCACTCTTGTTGCCAAGCTGGAGTGCAGTGGTCAATCTTAGCTCACTGCAACCTCCACCTCCTGGGTTCAAGCAATTCTCCTGTCTCAGCCTCCCAAGTAGCTAGCTGGGATTACAGGTGCCTGCCATCATGCCCAGCTAATTTTTTGTACTTTTTGTAGAGATGGAGTTTCACCATGTTGGCCAGACTGGTCTTGAACTCCTGACCTCAGGTGATCTGCCTGCCTCAGCTTCCCAAAGTGCTGGGATTACAGGTGTGAGCCACTGCCTGCAGCCATAAATGTATCTTTCTATTATAACTTTAAAAAGCAATAAAACAGAATAAAGTAATAAGGATAAATGTAATCATTTTGAACTTAATATATTAAATTTTAACTAATAAAATAGTATTTTATTTGTGCACGTCAAATTGGTTAAGTTTGAAAACTTTTGGAGTAAGGGAAATGGAATCAAACAGTTGAAATAGCCTGTTTTATTTTAAGCATTGTGCTCAACTCTTTGACTTATCTTTTCATTTAATTTTTACAGTAGCCTTTGAAATGTTGTTTGAATTCCACAAGTGATTTTTAAATTTTTGTTGGTTTATAGAGGATTCCAGACAAGATACAACCATATTTAGGAAATTCATCAATATTTAACATGATAATAATACTAGTAGAAAATGAAGTAATTAGTCCATTTAAAATTCAAAATAGGCCAAGTACAGTGGCTCACGCCTGTAATTCCAGCACTGTGGGAGGCTGGGAAGATTGTTTGAGATGAGCCTAGGCAACATAGTGAGATCTCATTAATACCAAAAAAAAAAAAAGCCATGCATGGTAGCATGCGCTTGTAGTCCCAGCTACTGCAGAGGCTGAGATGGGAAGATTGCTTGAGACTAGGAGTTCAAGGCTGCAGTTGGCTATTAAAGTGCCACTGGACTCCAGCCTGGGTGGCAGAGTGAGACCCTGTCTCAAAAAAATAAAAAAAAAAAAAACAAAATAAATTTATTATTAAAAAATGCATAATTGTGGGCAGGATTCTCTATCACCATCGATAATAATTTGCTATAGAATCCCTCTAGGAATCAGCCTAGATTAGAATGTCAGAAGAGGACTCTTTCCGTTAGACGAATTCCTCCTGATTCTTTTCTCTTGTTGCCTAACGGTATCACAGATCCAGGACAGGTAGGAAGTTCAGATGAAGTATGGATGGCAATGCAAATTTCTAGCTTCTTGGAAGGTATCATGTCTCACTGACACTTCTGCTGATGTGAGTTCAAATATCAGTGTTTGAAAAGGTTAAAAAAAATGGGCTCTGGCGTCATATCTTAACTTTTGCCACTTGCTGACCTAGTATCTTGGGACAAGTTACTTTACTTGAGGCTGCTGCTTCCTCATCTATAAAATGGGAATGGCACCACCTCACTGGTTGTCATGAGAATCATATTAGATAAGGAGTGCCTGGGGGCAGAGTGCATAGGAACTGCGTGATAAATGTTAGCTATTTTATTATTACTGTTTTATCATTCATTTAACAAACATTGATTATAGATTTGTTTTGATTTTTAAATGTAATTGACTTGTTTCATTATTGCTCTAGATCTCTTGGAATTTTTGCTGTCACTGTCCAACGTCCCTATAGCTTTCCTTGTGTATACTTTGAGGCTAGAGCACAAATTTCAGAAATGAGGGAGAATAGTGTAAACCTGGCCCTGCAGAATAATTATCTTAAACTCTTGAGGCTTTCTTAGGTGAGACCTTCTAAAAATCTTATGTCTCAATGCTCGATTTCTTCTCTGTTGGCAGGCAATCTTTTGATTGTAGTCTGATTGAGGCCACTTGACATGAGCCTCTCTACATCCCTTTGTACTCACGCACACTGTTGACTTGTCAATTCCTATTTTTGCTCTCTTTTCCCACTTAGAGGAAGATTGTTTCTTACAAATTATTTGACAGTATCGGATGATCTTCAGAATACAATAGAAATGCCTCAATTTTTGCCAGAATCTGTTTGTAATCCAGACCCTGCTTTTATGAACTCTTATCATTATGGGCTTCTGTCAAATGCATTGTGCCCTGTACCTTCTTATCACTGATACTTTGGTTGGAATCTTCAGGACCCATTGTTCCTGTCACTTCTTCTTTGAAGTCCTTCTTGATGTGGCAGATACTTTCTCTTCTGGAAACCCACTGTATCTTGTGTTTCTCTCTTTTCATAGTATTCATGGTATGTTGCAATAATCTGTTCATCTTGGGGGGACTATGCTTCAGTCTAGGCCCAAGTTGGACCTCAACTTTGTTTAACTAAAGGACTTTGTAAACATAAATTCACTTGGCCTGGCACGGTGGCTCACACCTGTAATCCCAGCTACTCGGGAGGCTGAGGCAGGGGAATTGCTTGAACTCAGAAGGTGGAGGTTACAATGAACTGAGATCATGCCACTGCACTCCAGCCTGTGCAACAGAGCGAGACTCTGTCTTGGGGAGAAAAAAAAAAGGTAAATTCACAAGTGCATGGATATTTGGGAGACAGCATTTTTGAACAAGACTCATGTAGTATATACTCCCTTTCTGGGATATGGAATTTGCACCCTTTAAAAGAACAAAGTAGCTACTATTCACTAACATAGATAACATCTGAGAAATGAATTTTAAGATGAGTGGTTTTTAAGATATGATCAGTAACTTCAGTTCCTATCTCTGTATTTTAGGTAATGGAACTGCTGGTCCATCTGAATAAACGTATAAAAAGCCGCCCCAAAATACAGCTTCCAGTAGAGACACTGCTGGTTCAGTACCAGGACCCTGCTGCAGTTTCCTTTGTCACAGTGAGTATCGTATTGGAATATTTTCTGACTTATAGCAAGTTTTCTTTCATAACATTTATCAGATGTCATCAACATATTGGCAAGCTTAGAATTTCACCATAGACCACTTCTAAATGAAACATGAGGAGATATTTTTCTTTAAATTACACACTGTTTTTCCACTGAGTACCAATCCAGAGGAAATGCTGCGTTAAAGGAAATGGTAGGAAGAGAGTAATGAATGGCTGTTTACATTGGGCAAAGGAATGTTGGTGAAATGACTTGTCAGGTATGTTACATAAAAGAATGATTTGATTTTTGGTAAGAGACTATGTGAGATGGGTCTGAATAGAGAGAAGGGTTATGCAGCTTAGGCACAAATAAAGCATAATGGAAGAAAAAAGCGAGTAAAGTGGCAAGAAGATACCTTTTTTAAAAGTGGAGTAAATCTGAGGCTGGTAAGAAACGTTCCTTTTAAATTGTTGTCTTCATGAAAATTAAATGTAAAAAATGTTGATCCTGTGTGATGGCAGGTGATGTTTTTTCCTGGTCCTTGTAGTTCCCAGCATTCAGACAGAATTGATTGAATCTTATCTAACATCTGGAGTCACAAAACTTTTGGAGCTACCTATTGGTCCAGACATCGTTTTATCTGTTCCTGTTCTGGCTATTTGGCCCAATTACGTATGTTGCTTTCTTTAAGCAAACAGGAACACTGTGTGCCAATAAAAATGTCAAATAGAATTTATTTAAAGAAATCATCTTATGAAGCTCATTTATTTTAGTAAAGAATTCATCAGAGGCTGGGCATGGTGGCTCATGCCTGTAATCTCAGCACTTTGGGAAGCTGAGGCGGGTGGATCACGAGGCAGGTGGATCACAAGGTTAGGAGTTCAAGACCAGCCTGGCCAACATAGTGAAACCTCATCTCTACTAAAAATATAAAAACTAACCAGGCATGCTGGCACATGCCTGTAGTCCCAGCTACTCAGGAGGCTGAGGCAGGAGAATCACTTGAACCAGGGAGGTGGAGGTTGCAGTGAGCCGAGATCGCACCACTGTACTGCAGCCTGGGTGACAGAGCGAGACTCTGCCTCCAGTGGGGAAACAACAAAAAAAAAAGAATTAAGCCGGGCGCGGTGGCTCACGCTTGTAATCCCAGCACTTTGGGAGGCCGAGGCGGGTGGATCACGAGGTCAAGAGATCAAGACCATCCTGGTCAACATGGTGAAACCCCGTCTCTACTAAAACTACAAAACATTAGCTGGGCATGGTGGCGCGTGCCTGTAATCCCAGCTACTCAGGAGGCTGAGGCAGGAGAATTGCTTGAACCCAGGAGGCAGAGGTTGCGGTGAGCTGAGATCACGCCATTGCACTCCAACCTGGGTAACAAGAGTGAAACTCCGTCTCAAAAAAAAAAAAAAAAAAGAATTATTCAGAAAAACAAATCTTAATCTTATGTGTAAATCCAGATTGTATTTATGGGTTTGCTTAAAATCCAGCATTCACACAGATTATAGTGATACAGGTTGAGTATCCCTTATCTGAAATGCTTGGGACCATAAGTGTTTTGAATTTTGGAATATTTGACCTGATTTAGCATCCCAAATCCAAAATCTGAGATACCCTAATGAGCATTTCCTTTGTGGGCCTTGTTGGCACTCATAAAGTTTCAGATTTTGTAGGATTTAGAATTTAGAATTTTCAGACTTGTGGTTCTCAACCTTGCACAAACACAAAGCACTCAGTTTCCTTTGGTTCGTCATGCATTGGTGAGTTACTAGAGTGAGGAACCACAGAGTGCTGCAGTATATACTGAGGTTGTTTTAGTCATTTGACCAGTTGGGAAATGGCGGCCTAGCGTTTGTCAAAAACACCTGATCTCCTCCTAGCTTGTAAGGATTAATGCAACAAACTGGGAGATCTGATGCTAATGTGTAGTGTGTAGGTATAAATAGGTTGATTGATTATTTTTTTTATTCTCCATGATAAGAAATTGCATATATGAATGCTTTAGATTAGGCCATGCTTCCTCACATGAGGCCTGCGTTAAAGCAAGCGTTTGGAATAAGTTGGACTGGAATTCTTTCTCTGAGATACAGTAGTTGGTAAAGGTGTCATAAACATGAGGAGGGAGGGTGCTTCATGTTTACAATGTGTTTTTGTAACCATAACTCTCTAAGTTATCAATTTTCATTGAAATCACAGAGTGTTTCCTTCACACTGACTTGCTTTTCTCTTATTGCATTAGAATTTTACTATAATTTATGTTAAAATGGGCTATCCTCGCCTACCAGTAGAAAAACAATGTGAACTGGCCCCTACGCTTCTTACTGCCATGGAAGGGAAGCCTCAGCCACAGCAGGATAGGTATGGTTTCCTCAATTCTAATTTCCCTCCTGTAGGAGTCAACAACTGCCTTTCAAATGTTAGTTCACACATTTGGTTTTACTTGGGCAAATGGGGGGTCTTGAACTGCTTTAGCCGACAAGAGTTTTCTGTGGTACCTCAAAGTTACTGTTTTATTAATACTATCATAAAATTTCTTGATATGAACATTGAAAAATATGCAGAACTAACAACATTTATCTAAGTCTATCCATTTTTTTGCCTAGTTATCTTGAAGCAGTTAATTTTATGTGATTGCAAAAATTACAGTTAAAAATCATTTGCATCAAAACATTTCTATCTTAGATGATATAAAGTTTCAGGGTGGTTTTCTTAAGAAACAGAGCGCTTGTTTGTATTAATGTGGGAACTGGAGAGGTGGAAAGGTTTTTAGATAACATCACTTGTTTCTAGGCTTAGCCAAAAGTTCTGTGTTGTAGCCCTGTTGTAGTGAGAATCATGATGAAGAGTGAAGAAGTGTAGAGGAAAGGTGGAGTTAAATCATGTTTTCAGTTCACCTTTTAGAGTATATTTATTTTTAAAGAAAGACAATAATTCAGAAGTTTACAAGTAAAATTAATAGACATTAGAAGCATGGTCTGAAATTGTTTTCATATGTTTTAAGAGTATCAAAAGGTGTTAGTGAAAGGAATTACTGAAGCCTGTTGCTTAAATTAACGCAATAGAAATGTTAATATTGTATTAAAATATTAATATGGTTGATTTTTTAATTTTTAAAATTTAGAATAACTTTAGTTGTGGGAAATAATTTTTTTTTTTTTTTTGAGACAGAGTCTCACTCTGTTGCCCAGGCTGGAGTATAGTGGCACAATCTTGGTGCACTGCAACCTCCGCCTTCTGAGTTGAAGTGATTCTCTTGCCTCAGCCTCCTGAGTAGCTGGGATTACAGGCGCCTGCCACCATGCCCGGCTAACTTTTTGTATTTTTAGTCAAGACAGGGGTTTCACCATGTTGGCCAGGCTGGTCTCGAACTCCTGACTTCAAATCATCTGGCCATCTTGGTCAGGTGCAGTGGCTCACGCCTGTAATCCCAGCACCTTGGCCTCCCAAAGTGCTGGGATTATAGATGTGAGCCATTGCACCCGGCCAAAAATAATTTTTTTTGAAAAGACAAGTTATAAAAGTTGAACTTTACTTAAGATTTAATATAAAATCTCTTGTGGAAACTTCAGATATTAACATTGAACCCATTTTATGTATTTTTTTCATATAATTTTAGTGATGAGCCAGATTGGCTACATGCTAATCATCACTCAATATACTGAGCTTTCAATAAGAAAGAAATCTAGGCCGGTCCCTAGATTAGGACTTTGTAAATTAGTGGTGTTGAAAATCAATGTCTCTTGCTTACAACTGCCAGTTTTTGTTATGTGATTTTTGTCTGTTTTTTGCATGTATAAAAATCTCATTTTTAAGTAGCTGCAATAAATGTAATTGTTTTTTCAGCTTAATGCATCTTTTAATACCAACCCTTTTTCACATGAAATACCCTGTTGAATCATCAAAATCAGCTTCTCCGTTTAATCTTGCTGAGAAACCAAAGACTGTGCAGCTGCTTTTGGACTTCATGCTAGATGTCCTTCTGATGCCTTATGGGTGAGTTACAAACTAAAAACAAAGCCACCTTGTTCTTGACTGCTTTTACTGTGTGGAGTTAAGTACTATTTTAAATGATTCCAGTCCCACTAGTAAATAAATGCATCTCAACATCCATTTACATTTACAAAGATTTTTTCTTCTAATCCTCTTTTAAACTTCAGCTTCACTGCTTATCAGACTTACTGATGCTGACTGAGTTGCTGTTGTGATTTTAGACTCTACCTGCCCAAGATGAAATCAATCTATCCCCATAGAAATAGTTCCTCTTAGGCCGAGGTGGGAGGATCACTTGGGGCTAGGAGTTTCAGACCTGACTGGGTGACAGAGCGAGACTGTCTTTCAAAAGAAAGTTTCTCTTTTGAAGTTACTATCAGTGCTGTGATGATTCTCCTTGCCACCTAGCCATACAATTGATCAGTTGTCTCCAGCTTTTCTCTTTTTTGTTGCTACAATATCAGTTTCATAATGCCTCCTTCCTTCTCCTTGCTGTGTCTGGAACCCTTCCCACTGGTATCATCTAGTTTTGCCTCTTTTCAAGTCTTGTCATAATTTCTTTCCCAGTGGTTCCACTTCTTCAAATCTCTTTACACCCCCTCTCTATGCTTTTCCCGTTTTTCAAAACACAGATCCAGGCAACACCTTGGTTTCTCATATCCAGTCATTAATACACATGCATTTCATGCACTCTTATATGTCCTTGCCTTTTATTTCTTAAGAGAATGCTTTTCTCTCTGCCTCGAATGCTTCTTCAAAAAAGAAAGAAAGCAAGCAAAAAGACACTTTGAAAAAAAGCATCCCAGCCATTTATAGTGGCTCACACCTGTAATCTCAGCACTTATAGAGGCCAAGGCGGACAGATCCCTTGAACCCAGAAGTTTGAGACTAGCCTGGGCAAAATGAAAAAACCCTGTTTCTACAAAAAATAAAAAAAATTAGCGAGACCCCCTGGCATGCACCTATAGTCCCAGCTACTTGGGAGGCTGAGGCTAGAGTATTGATTGAGTCTGGGAGGTTGAGGCTGTAGTGAGCTATGATTCATGCCATTGCACTCCAGCCTAGTGACAGAACAAGACCCTGTATCAAAAACAAAAACAAAAAGAAAAGGAAAAAGAAAAAAGGATCCCAAACTGGCTTAAATGTCAACTCTGTTTGTCTCTGACAAATTTCTTGCCCCAGGGAGATATAATTGCACTAATTTCTGTGTCATAATAACATGAAATACCCACTGGTATGGGCACTGTGTGTTTCTGCTGCGTTGTAGACATTTCCATCTCCCGTAGTAGATGGTGAGCCCCTTGTAGTCAAGAGTTGTTTCATGTAGCTTTGGTCTCTGGCATGGAGCCCTGATTGCGATCTACTTCTAGTTTACTATTTTGTCCTGCTGCCAGAGAAATTTTCCAAAATGCTGTTTTCATCTTGTTCCTTTCCTGATCACAAAAATATGTGTACATGATAAGCTTGGCATATGGGGCTCCATATCATTTGTCTCTCAATCCAAAGACAAGAGAGTTCATGTGGTGTGATGAAGCAGTTTGTTCTCCTCCTGCCCCTCTTGTTTGGTAGCCCAATTTTCTGGGCCTTCAGTCACTCCATGTTCACTCTCACCACCTGTTATATCACTTCTTATTTCTCAGCAGTTTCTTTGCGTCTGATAAAATGGCAGATGCTATTACATGTATTACGTCGTTACTGTCTCAGCCTACTCCAGATGGCAGAGACTCCATCTTACATCTCTTTATATTCCTCTGTCATGTGTTTAAGTTGATGTTTATTTGAGACAGGGCCTCACTCTGTCGCCCAGGCTGGTATGCAGTGGCAACTCACTGCAGCCTTTACCTCCTGGGTTCAAGCAGTCCTCTCACCTCAGCCTCCTGAGTAGCTGGGACTATAGGTGCATATCACCATACCCAGCTAATTTTCTTTTATATTTTTTGTAGAGATAGGGTGTCAACATGTTGCCCAGGCTGGTCTCAAACTTCTGGGCTCAAGCGATCCTCTCACCTTGGCCTCCCAAAGTGGTGGGATTATAGGCCTGAGCCACCACACCCAGCCTTAGGATGTTTTATACAGTATTAAGATGTACATATTTATTGATTGATTTACTTAATGCTGCCAGTCTTGCTATAACTTAGAAATAAACTTCTTTTTATGTTTGTTAAATCAGGAGGCAGCCAGAATGACAGGTGATGGTGGCTTTGATAGATAAGCCTTGAAATTCAGATTTACCTTAGAAATATGTTGTTATCAAGCCAGTGACTCCTCACATTTTTCTTACTAATGAGAACTTGCGTTGTTTATATAATAATATTAAAGCGATTCCTTAACAGGTTTTAAAAAAATAGATTAGGAATTGAATGAATGTGACATGTAAGTAATGTGGAATAATTTATGCTATCAAGTTCTAAGTGTTTTCTTGAACTTTTATTATAATGGATATTATAGTTTAATATGGAAGTTACCAGCATAGACCTTTAGTTTTAAGAGATTTGAATTAATATTTATATCAAAAACTTCATTTTGTAGATGAGTAATACCAGTTTAATTGGATCAAAATGAATTTCTTGGAGCTCTTCTTTCTCCTCCATAGAAGCTAAAATGAAATAGAGGTGATAATTTAACCAGGTGGTATAAAGGGCTTTGAACATATAATGGGAAAAGTCAGTTCTTATGTAACTTCTCTTCATTGGGCCCTTTTGATTTCTTTCATTTTGGGGACTTTATGTGGTTATGTGGTATGTCGTTTGGAGGTTTCAGCGGGTTTTCTAATGTAGGGATAAAGACTTCAGGGAGGACTGAAGGTGAATTACAACTTTGTAGAAATGAGAATGACTGTAGAAATACTCTGCTTTGGGTATACAACAATGGCTTCTCCCAGTCCCCTATGTCAACAAACTTTTCTCCATATTTGGCAGCTAAAAACTCAAAATGTGGTGATTCTGGCGTGGCTCTTAGAGCTATCATTTATAGACTGAGAGTGATCAAAATATTTATATTCATTGTTGGTAATGGTTGTAGTTCATTTGTAACCAAGTTAAGTGATGTGCTCTTCTGGTTAATTTGCTGAAGATTTAGATACCTTTTCTAGATACCTTAAAATTTTTTTTATGATGAAATTTAAATTTCAAGTGTTGATTCTTCTAGTAAAATATAGTAGGAGGACAGTATATGATTGATTGTTTTATATACACATATAGATGTAAATGCTTGTGTTTTTATAGAGGTTTAAAGTGTTATTTCCTTTCCAGATATGTGTTAAATGAATCCCAGAGTCGCCAAAATTCATCTTCAGCACAGGGTTCTTCTTCAAACAGTGGAGGAGGTTCTGGAATCCCACAGCCGCCTCCAGGAATGAGCTTTTATGCAGCTAAACGAGTTATTGGTGATAACCCATGGACACCTGAACAATTGGAACAGGTATCACATACTGCTTGCTCATAATAGTACTTGGTCCTGGACACTTGCCCCTATGAAGTCCATGAACCATGTATAACATGATTATAGTATATTCAGGCTCTCTAATGAAATATATTTGAAAGGAGCAGTTGACGTAATGTGTTCTCTTCATGCTAGTTATTTATTAAGCCCTAGGGGCAGGGAGGAGTGGGATATGCTGTTTAGCTTTTCTAATATTGTTTACATACTTCCAGTATAACTCACTTATAAATTGAACATGCTTAACTTGTTTTTTTACAATTTTTTAACTTTTGTCATTTTAGTTTTTAAATTGTAGCTTTAATTATCATCTAGCTTTTTTGTTGCAGTTAAAATACAATTTTTCTTACATTATTCAACTTTTTAGGGCTGTACATTTTATGTAAAGTGAGGAGCCCAACACTTCACAGGTGACAGTGTGGGGAAAAGCATGACTCCCTGTAATATTACTTCTTGGGAATTTAAAAATTGGCATTAAGAATTTTATTCTGGATTTAAACAGGACACAGATGTTCTCTGAGCAGCTTTTAAAAATGACTGGTGCTCTACAGAGAAGGTGCCTCACTGTGCCTGTGTCATCAGGCACTTCAGGGAAGAACAGATGAGATCAGTATGTAATTATTTTGGAATTTAAGCAACATGGGTTAGTCTTCTAATCCTTCCTTTATTTCTCCATGGCAGTCTAAATGATTTGATCCTTTTCTTTTTGGGAATGTAAGTGACCATTGATTAAAACAGTGTTCCCAGTAGAGGGAAAAAGAGGCAAGCGGGGTATTCTTGCCACTCACAAATTTATAGAATGTTTTATTCAGTGAGGGGTATAATTGATTTGATTTCCTTCTTCATGTTTTATGGATCTTTTTTTTCCTTCTTAAACTATTATGTAAGTAAAGGTAAAGAGTTAACAGAAGCTACTCTTTTTTGAGTTCAATCTGTGTGACAAGCACTGTACTGGGTACTTTGAATATAATATCTCATTTAATCCTCACAGCAACCAAGCGAGGTATAGAAATTGTTAGTTCCATCTTCTGAAAGGCATGGAAGTTTTGAGATTTACCAGGGTTTCACTTCTAGTACCAAGCTTTGAACCTAGGTTTATCTGAGGGCTAAAGCTACAAATACTGGAGGAAAATGGTTATTGTTCAATTATAATCTTATATTGGTCATTATTTGCTAATATGTCTCTGTATATGTTTTGTCAGTTTCATAATCTAGTGCTGAAACAAACGGTTTAGTTTCAGGGAGGAAAGCTGTTTTCCTCTAATTTTAAAATATCTCTTTGTTTTATATTTCTTCTTCCAAGTAAAACATGTTTTTTTTTTTTTTTTTTTCCTAATTATAAACTTAATATAAATATTCAAGTAGTTAAGAATAGTAGAAAGTGAAATTAAAAATTAAGGGGCTGGACATGGTGGCTCACGCCTGTTGCAGTGAGGCTAAGGCGGGTGGACCACTTGAGGCCAGGAGTTCGAGACCAGCCTGGGCAACACAATGATATCCTGTCTCTATTAAAATTCCAAAAATTGGCTAGGTGTGGTGGTACACGCCTGTAAACCTAGCTACTTGGGAGGCTGAGGCATGAGAATCACTTGAACTCAGGAGGTGGGAGTTGCTGTGAGCTGAGATTGTGCCACTGCATTCCAGCCTGGGCGATAGAGTAAGACTCTGTGTAAAAGAAAAAAAAAAGGGCCGGTGCAGTGGCTCATGCCTGTAATCCCAACACTTTGGGAGGTCATATTGGGCAGATCACTTGAGTTCAGCAGTTCAAGATCAGCCTGGCCAAAATGGCAAAACCCCATCTCTACCAAAACAAAAATTAGCTGGGCATGGTGGTGTGTGCTTGTAGTCCCAGCTACTGGGGAGGCTGAGGCACAAGAATTGCTTGAACCCAGGAGGCAGAGGTTGCAGTGAGCCTTGATTGCACCATTGCACTCCAGCCTGGGTGACAGAGCAGGACTCTGTTTCAAAAAAAAATAAAATTATCTGGAATCCTGTTACACTAGTTTGTCATCTGTCTACAGTTTGCTCTGTGTGTTTGTATATGTGTGTTCAGTTTTAAACAACACATTTCTACTTGTCATGGAATACATTATTTGTAGTTTGATTTTTATATTGAACAATAATTTGAATTTTTTGAAAAGTAATTCTTTTTAATGTTTGTATATAATTATATATGGTATTTTTAAACCAGTCTCCTGTTGATGGACATCTGTATCATTTTCGGTTTTCTTTACGCATTTTTTGTTTATATCTTTGTGTACTTGACTTCCATAACTGTCCTTTTTATGGCTGCACAAATGTTTGAATCTTTTCTGTTGTAGCTGTTGTTAAAAGTAAGTTGTGTTGAGCATGGGAGAGAAGGCAGGCCCGTTTTTGATTTGTTTATATCTTTTTAAATTGCATTTTTTCCTTATTTAATAATTGTAAGACTTATTCTAGAATATGTAAAAACTATTATGTGACTGTTTTTTTAAGATAAAAATGAAATTTTGTTTTTCAGGTGTATTTATCCTAAATAGAGTCATTTGTAATGAAATTCATAGCATCTTCACATTGCATGAAGTTCTAATCAAAATCTCTCTTTAGTCTGTTTCATTTCAGCCAGTCAATTAAATGGAATACTATTCAATTAGAATTTCTCTTGCATTGAGTAGCCAATATTTGAATGTATGTTAGCATATCCTTTGTATGTTAGCAATAGAATGAAACTTGATGGAATGTGAATTATTTAATTATTTTTGAACTGTCAGAATCCATGGAACACTTTATTCCTAGTGTACCAACCTCTTATCTGGAGGCTCCAAATTTGGACTTTAAGACTTCATCACTCTAGAGAGGCTGTCTGACCTCACTAGGGAGGCTGTATATCATAATAGTTTTGGAGTCAGAGAGACTTGGGTTTGAATCCTGCCTTCATCATTTACCTGTGTTTTCATCTTTTAAGCCTTGCCTCAGTGTCCTTAGCTAAAATGTGGGTATAATAATACCTATCTCATAGATAGTGAGGATTAAGTGAAATTATGAATGTATGTGCTTAGTACAGTCCCTGACACATTGTAAGCCTAAGTAGGAGCTGCTGTTCTTGTTACCGTTCATCTTTGGCTTATGACCACACTGGTATGTTAAGCAGTACTTTGAGCGGGTGTCCTTTGCTTCCCTGACTGTTCTTTCTCCTTCCCTTCATTTATCTACAGTGCAAATTGGGAATAGTGAAATTCATAGAAGCCGAACAGGTGCCTGAACTTGAAGCTGTTCTCCATTTGGTGGTTGCTTCTAGTGATACACGCCACAGTGTGGCAACAGCAGCAGACCTGGAACTGAAAAGCAAACAGAGGTAACCACTTCCCTGTTAAGCTTTTAAGATTGAAAGGGCTAGATTTTTAAAACCTTACTTACCACATATTATTACCTTTTTAAGGATTTTATGTAATGAGGCAATCAACTTAGTGGAGATTATGAAATATACCTAGTTTGTAATAAAGTTTTCTAAAGAGTTGCATTCTGTGTAAGACAGAGAAGAAAATCTGTGTGGAGATGGTGTTTATAGCTGGAATAGGTTAGAAATGTCATCACAATCAATGAGACTTTTGGCTAGGTAGATGAGCTTTAAGACTTGATGTTAAGAAAAGTGTCAATTCCTGGCTGGATGCTGTGGCTCATGCCTGTAATCCTATCACTTTGGGAGGCTGAGACGGGTGGATCATTTGAGATCAGGAGTTCGAGACCAGCCTGGCCAATGTGGTGAAACCCCATCTCTACTAAAAATACAACAGTTAGTCAAGTGTGGTGGTGGGTGCCTGTGATCCCAGCTACTTGGGAGGCTGAGGTAGGAGAATCACACGAACCTGGGAGGTAGAGGTTGCAGTGAGCCGAGATTGCACCTTTGCACTTCAGCCTGGGCTATGGAGTGAAACCCTGTCTCAAAAAAAAAGTGTTAGTTCTGGCCGGGCGCGGTGGCTCACGCCTGTAATCCCAGCACTTTGGGAGGCCGAGGCGGGTGGATCACGAGGTCAAGAGATTGAGACCATCCTGGTCAACATGGTGAAACCTCGTCTCTA